GCCTGACCACCAGCGGCATCAATCGAGACCGTTCTATGAAGCTCACCAATATAGTGCCGATCAGCTGGTCGTGCTGCTTGGCTAAGTCATCAAGATTGATGACCTCCTCCCTGGGACGCAATACAGGAGCCTCCCGCCTAACCGTCGTCACCACCATGCTCTGCTCGCAGCTACCATTCGAGTTGGATCGAGTGCTGTTCTTTGAGGCCCATGACCCATGGTCACCACTCGCGGCTCGCTTCTTCTCAGCCTGCTCAGCTACAACTCTCTGATGAGTCTGAGGCGCGGGCGGAAATCGCATGCCCGTCGATTGGGTGCTCTCCTGTGACGGCGGGCGTCTAGGCGCTGGCACACCTCGTCCTGAATCCAGATAGTAAATACAACGCCAATCCGGAGGTACACCCATCCTTGCCTCCTTCATAAGGATGGATCTCATCATGAGGCAATTCTCTAAGCGGTCCCGCCAGCAATACTGACGACGACTGACCCCCTCCTTCAGCCGGTTTTTGCCGCTCTTTCAGCCTGCCATTCCTCTCCTTCATCTCCGTATGTTGTCGTACTGGAGGGTTAGCATATCTCGGCAACAAGTTCGCCGGGTCCTCAGGAGCCAGGCTTTCGTTATTGGACACGTTGTTGCCCGGATTAGATGCGTTTTGATGTTGGTCTTGACTTACACCATCTCCCCGTCTCAATTCCCGTACCTGATAGAAAGTGTCTCGAGTCGCTAGCAAGAGACAATTGATTAGATCTTCACAATATAAATGAATCTTCATGAAAAACATGAATTCATAAAGTTCAGTCTACAAGCTTAAGTTCTGAAAATCTGATTTTTGAGAGAGCACCACTTTGAGGAGAGCGAAGTCGACCTTGCCCACTCTCCCACGACAACTCACCCTATAGGCGTAGCGCAGCGTATTGAGGGTATGCTCCACGCATGCTGCTGATGGCGATATATTTGCTATCATCACTGTAGAGCAGTTACTGCCTACGAATGAATCTTTGAGGACCTACGTAGCCAAGCATCGCGGCCTTCTACCACTCGAGTGCAGTGTTCACCTGGGTGAGCTTCGAGCCTCTGAAGGGAGTATGATCAGCCTGCTGATCCAATGCCCTTATACATTCCTTCAGTGCCAACAACGACTTGTTGATCT